ACTTACCTTGGAAAATGAGTAAGAACAATGGTTCTTTTATCAGCTGGCATCTTATCTTTCTCAGCTCTAAACTTTTCAAGAAGCTGCCTTCGCATGACAGAAAAGACAGACCTCAAGAGTGTTCTACCAAACACTGCAGTGGTATCATGCTTTGGAAGACTGTCACAGAATACAGGAACATGACAATAGCACAGCCACCTTAAAACAGAATTGATGTAATGCAATTTACATTAGGCTACAGTGTAAGTTATAATAATGGCAAGCTGGTCAAGGTTTTTTGAACTACAGTCTATTTAGATGGAAGGCATCCTTATCAGATTTATAACTGATACGTAATTACAAAGTGAGTATAAAAAGACGTACCTTGTATAGTTCATTTTATAAGCAGCAATTTGTTCTCCTTGGGAATGTTGCTTCTTGACAGACACAGTTTCCAGTTTCCAATGATTCAAGCAATGTAAAAACATTTTGGCYAGATCATGCATAATCTGCCACTCTCGTTGAGGGAGATGACCAAATTTGTGAAGTACGAAGTTTAGAACGGCCTAGAAATTGCAAATCACAATAAYGTGAATTATGATCATTTTACAMTCAACACTTGTGCTTTTATTATTGATAATGCAGSCACTTAWGTTATAAATGACCAGACGTTAAGATCCTGTGCTACATGTACACGTACAATCCCCTTAATGAGCTTTTGATTTAGTATCATAATAGAATAATAAAATATCTTATAATGTCAGATTTAGTTACCTTGGCAACACTCGGTGTCTCAAAAGGAGGTGTTCCGAGAGARCTTTCAACAGTGGGTGTTGACATCTGGAGAATACATTTTCTTAAAAGTTTGAAGAGGTAAAAATACACTTGTTTTGTATCTGAATCTTCTTCTTTATGAACACACATGAAGAGATTTTCTACATCCACAACCATGCATAATAACCTGAAATAGGTACAAAAAAACTTTAAAAATAATTTTGGGGCATGTCACTAGTTAATAACACTTTTTGTTATCAATTATTTTCAGGCCAAGGGAGTGTGTAAATAAATATTATAAAACTTATTAATAATGCATAAGCTATTGTCTAATAAGGGCTGACCATTTAATCAGGTGATTGACCTTGTAAATCTGATACAACCACTAGTGTTGTATCAGATTTACAACACGGTCGTCACTATTGAGACAACCCAACACTAGCAAAGGTCTCAGTTTTAGTGTCGCATCATAGACCTTCACTAGGTTTTGAAGCAATCAAAGACGGATAACAGAAMTCGCTTATGCAACAGATGCCTTGCTTTCCATGTGGGATGGATAATTATTCAAAATGTTCTGTGTTGCAGTAAATTGCGCATGCTTAATAGGGACTAAACTCAGCAGAACACCTTATTTGTCATTTTTCGTCATTTATCTCACTGTAATTCATGTTAATTTGTGTTGGAGTTTTATAAGTCGTTTACAACATTCGCGTCCGTGTTGTATGGGAATTACAATCTCTCGCCTGCGGCTCGAGATTGTAATTCCCATACAACACGGCCGCTCATGTTGTAAACTATACATATGCACCTGTCCAGTTCTTTCTCCTCTATGCTTTGAAGGTGTGAGATATGAGATCCTAAAGTATGATTACAACTGCGGCATGGATCAGTAAGGCTTGCTAGAGGTTGTGAAAGGTCAATTCTTGATGGTGTCGGTAGAGGGTTGGGGTTCTTCCATCCATTGCATTTACATGATTCTTCAGCCTAGAAAAAAAATAAAAGAGTAGTTTTATATTGGGTATACTAGTCTTATCATAAGCTAGGAACAGCAAAAGCAGGAGGAGACACCTTAAAAATAAAAGAGCAAATGAAAAAAAAAGGAAATGAAATGAAAGAAAATAAAACAGCAATTCAATTACTTATAATTTCTGAATTATGGTTTGTTGCGCTTTTTTAATTATATTTTCCCTTTCATTTTTTTTTATTTTGCTCCTTCCATTTTTTTTTTTCATTCGCGGCACCACAGGGTTCCCGTCAATGATACAGGAACTGAAACATTCATCGCGCCAAATGGCACGTATTTTGCTATTTCTATCTAAATGACTTGCAAATATGCGTCAATTAACGAATAACATTATTTACTGATGAGGAATAATACCTTACAACTTGAGTAGACACCAAGCTTTTCGAGTTTTTTTCTTCTCGTATATGACTTCACTTGTTCCTTTTTTTGAGCGATTCTTTGAAGATTGACCGGTCTACTGAAATCTGACGGTGTCATATGAGGTGCAAGAGATCTTTTTGACATCTCTGGGGCGCTGTTACTCGATAAATTTGTTACATTTTTGTCCGCCATTTTGTTTGGCGTTCAACAAATCTGTCAGCGGGTTATCATATAAACCATACGCGCGCGCTAATTCGTTCCAGTCTCTTTGTCTGCGCAAATTTCAAGATGGCGGACAAGAA